TAAAATATTACTACTTTGAAAGTCTGTGTGAACGTATTACCAAGAATCCAGAAAGAAACAACAAAAAGTCGACAGAAGAACCTTCAAAATTCACCAAAAAATGCCGAATGTACCAAGAATCCAAAAAGAACCTCGAGAAAGAACCTCAAAGAACATCTAAAATTCGCAAAAAAATGACAGAAGTACTGAGAATCCAGAAAGAAACACCAAAAAGTCATCAGAAGAACCTCCAAAAAACACCTTAAGTATCAAGAATCCAGAAAGAACCTTGAGAAAGAGCTCCCAAGAACACCCAAAATTCGCCAAAAAACGACAGAAGTACTAAGAATCCAGAAAGAAACACCAAAATGCCACAAGAAGAACCTCCAAAAGCCGCCAAAAAACGCCGGAAGTACAAGAATTCAGAAAAAACATCCAAAATTCTCCAAAGAATGCTGGAAGTACCAAGAATCTAGAAAGAACCTCTAAAAAATCATCAGAAGAATCTTCAAAAGCCACCAAAAAACGCCAGAAGCACCCAAGAAGCTTCAAAAATCGTTATAAAGGTCGCCAGAAAAACCTAAGAATCCAAAAGAACCACCGCAGAACGACGAAAAAACATCACTATTAAATAAATAAAACCACATTAAAGAAGAAGCCATGTAAACCGAACTTTGAACAATCATGAATCCACTATTAAAAACGAAAAACATCACATAAAGCGACGACCTTAAAATAAAATAAAACCACAATTGAAACCGACACCTAAAAAAAAATTAAAATTAATTAAATAGCGATAATCACGATATACTACGTAGGGGTTTATAGTAAAAATACTACGTACGTATGTATTAAATAAATCATGAAACCCCCTACCGTTACTACGTATTACAATTTAATGGATGGGGCTAATGCTTCTTTTATAACAAAAATAAGTTGTATGTATGTACTGTATGTACTGGTACGTAGATAATAAATTAACATCTATTCTTGAAACCGGATTTTTCTATTTTTAGAATATTCCGTAAAAAAAGGGT